AGATGACCCTGAGGAGAGAGGCTGATGACTTTGAACAGCCCTGTCTTGCTTAAAAATCCAATTCACTTGCAAGTCAAGACATCACCCTCCTTTTGTCATTGGTCCTCTTCAAGAATGAGGGACAAACAATGACACCTAGCCCTTAGTCATTAAATGGGTGTTGCCTCAGACAAATTGAGACCTAGGAAAGACCCTAATTTAGAAAGGCCAAGGTCACCCACTGCATCTCAGGCTATCTCCAGTCTTCTTGACTTTTGTCTTGCCACTGGATTTTGATGACTCTGGAGGAGAGAGGCTGATGAATGTGTGCATCTCTGTCTCACTCAAAATCTAATTCATGCATAAGTCAAGACATCACCCTTGTGATGTCATTTGTTCTCTTTGAGAATGAAGGATGAACAACAACAGCCTGGTTTGAAAAGGAAACAACTCTTTCAAAGGGAGAGCTACTGAGGGTAGACAGAAAATTAGCCCTCAAAAAAAGTAATATGACCCACAAAGAGTTTTATGGGGGAAGAGGAGGAGTATTTGTAACTTAAAGCTCTGCCTGTCTGCTTGTTGATAAGTGTTTATTCATTTATCTATGATACTGAGATTTGGAAACTATGCTGGGCAAATTCCATTCTTGTTTGGCATTACCATAATACCAAAGACAGTAACTTTCAAATTGATGTTTCTAATATAAATGTTAAAAAATCTGCAGAAGGAAGGCTGGTTCCAACTGCTTGATAAATAGCATTTTTTAAAGGTGGCTCTCAAAGTAATAGATAATAAGTAGATAGTTCTATTATGCATGTTAAATTCGGCATATTGCAAGCTTAAAAGCAGATTAATCAAAAAATGGAGATTAAAATGATCATAAGAACAAAAATAGCACTGATATTATTCAATGAGAAATTGATTTAGCCTTATAAATGATTTTTTCTGAAGAGTATGGGACAATAATTTGTGGAACTAAATTACAGACAAGTTGGAACTTCCTGGTTTCTAAAGTTTTTGCTTTTAGAGGATTATTTCAATATACTCTTGTGAAACTGAGGTTTTATCAGACTCCTGGAATAAACACACACAAATGCTCCCACAGTCATTTATGAGAATTTATTTATTCATGTGCAAAGTTTTATTTTCAAAAGAAAAATAAAAAAGACAAGAAAAGTCACTAAAACTTTTGTTTCTTCCAGCATCTGTCTCTCTCTCTACTGCAAAGTCTTTTATTGCATGATTTTTGGAGGAGTTTATTATCTCAGGTTTGGCATCTGTTTTCCCATTTTCACAAATAGGAAATATGTTTACAGTAGGTTTTACAAATGTTGTGGGCTGTACAATTAAACTTTTTTTCCTTGGCACTGTAGAGTCATACATAAGTGATGAGACTGTACCAAGTAGCAATTTACCTTTTATTATCAAAAACAAAATTTAGATATATATCTAATTATAATTAATTGAGAATGTAACATTCTTATAAGAAGTGACCCATGTTGGGTTAATATTTATTGGCTTTTATATCTGTATTTTGTTTGTCAATCTGCCAATAAAAATTAAAATCAACATGCTTCTCTGTAGTCCAACTATCAAAGCCACCTACTGTGTAGAGTTGAATAGATAACAAAAATATCTGTATGGAACAACATTATAGCCCTAGAAACCGTTATTATGGCATTGATTACATCAGTTCCCAATCAGATCTCCAATGCTGGTCGAAACAATTTTATTAACGAAAAAAACAGAACTGTTATATACCTCATTGAATATCACAAACTGGATGTCCCACACACATCTTAAATGCAATATATCCAAAAATGAATTCAATATATTCTTTCCCTGCCCTTTCTCTCTTGCCAGCTTGCCTACTACTGAGTAGGACACCATCATCCTCAAAACCTAGGTGTGATCCTTGACTTTTCATTCTCTTTCACTTCCCATATCCAATCTGTTACCAACTACCTTCACAATATCTCTTTTATATACTCCTTTATCTTCTTTGATACTAACACCTCTCTGCCATGAGTTCTACTTACCATATTTTTTTTAACTATTACAATAGCCTTTGAGTTTGTCTCCCTGCCTTAGGTTTCTCCCCACTCCAGTCCATCCTCCCATTTGGCTGTCAAAAAGTATAGGTATGATCCCATCATTCCTAGTCAATAAATTCTAATGGGTCCTTATTGACACCAGGATTGATTTAAAATTCTGTTTGGCATTCAAAGTCAACTTAGGCCCTTCCTACTTTACTTATCCCACATATTCTGAGATAAAGTGACAGAGACTTCTTTGCTATCCCTTGTATAGAACCTTCCATTTCACCCAGCTCCTGGAATTTTCACTGACTGATCCCCATGGCTGAAATTATCTCCCCTCATATATCCATCTCCTGACGTTTCTGGTTTCTTTCAATTCACAGCTAATATCCCAACTTCTATAAGGAGCCTTCCTGATCCTCCTTAATCCTTAGTGCCTTCCTTCTATTAATTATCTCTAATTCATCCTGTATATTTGTTTGTTCATAGTTGTTTGCACGTTGTCTCCCACATTAGACCGTGAGCTCCTTGAAAGCAGAGAGTGCTCTTTACTTTTCTTTGCATCTCCAGTGCTTAGCACAGTGCCTGGAACACAGTAGGCACTTAATGTATGCTTGTTGACTTACTGACAGTTAAAAACAGTTTGATGTCTCAAGGCACCACTATGGTAGAACTTTATGCTTTTGAATAATCACCTAGTAGTTTGCTACTCTGTAAAGTCAACATGGCAATAATTAGCTTGAGCAATTGTGAGAAGCAATCTCTAGAGGACTGTTGGATAAATAGGAGGCACATTATCATAATACAAATAGAAAATAATGAGTTCTAGAAAGAGCATGTTGAGCACCTTTGTGGCCTAGGTTATATTTCTCCATCTAATGCTACATAAACCTCATGTACAAAAGGACAGAGTGATCCTTAAAGGTATATTCTTGTGTGCATTTCTTTGTCTTCTGGGATAGGGTGGCATCACTGAATTTAGTTTGTGGGTGTACATTCAGTCATCACATGTTCTGGGTTTGGTTCTGTTGTGCCACATGGGTCATTCAAGTGCAAGTTCAAGTTTTCTGAAGTCAAGTGGGAAGAATTGTAGATAATTTCATTGAAATCTGACTTGATGTAGACTAAAGGTGAATTATTCAAGGGATACTCAACTGAGACTTGAGTGTTTTCTCGAGTCATTCCCATATCTTTGCTGTGCTCTGAAGGTGATTTCCTTTTCATTCGTGTGTAGCTTTTGTCTTGATTCTCCATGCCTTGTTCATTTTTCAAAAATCTTCCAAAGAACCAGATGAAAAAGCCAAACCACACAAAAGCTATTAAGCTTGGAACAAAAGCCAGACATTTGACATCGAGACTTGCTCCTACATATCTGCTATGCAAGAACATATCTCCCTCTGCATAGGTTCTATTAGTCCGAGGGTTAGTGTTATTAGATCTCCATTCCCAGGATAGCTTGGTTCTGTTTAAATCCTTTAAGCTTTCTGCATCCTCCACAGTATAAATCTTTTGTCCAGGGCCAATATATTGCCCATATTCATGTGGCTTATAAAATATTTGGTTTTTCCACATATTAAGGTCCAAAATTAGGACGAGAAAAATGATGCCATAGTTAAACCATTTACCTGTTTTTTAAAAGAAAGTCTGAATTAATAAAAGAATCACAAAATATATTTTAGAATCACAAAGTTAAAAGGGAATTCAGAGGTCATCTAATTCATATTGTACCAGAAAGGGAATCCTCTCCATAACATTGTTGACAAGTAGTCATTCAACGTCTGCTTAATAATATCCAGTGACATAAAACTATCTCCCATCATACCCCATTCCATTCTGCTGAGAAATCTTGAAGATCATGGGATGTACAAACTAGTAGACTAATGAGAAACCATTCCATACTTAGTAATGAAAAGCCTGGGCAACATTTCTTTTAAATAAATAGTCCCAGAGGATAATGGGATTTATTGCAAAGGTAATCTGCTATAATGACTTATTGTTAATATGTAAATAATTCAGACTCCTTGAAGAGTGAGCTGAGATTAATAATTGATGAGAATGATCATTCATTTCAGCAGACCCTAAGTTAAACACTACTAGGCATCTGGTGACACAATAGATAGACTTCCCGGCCGGGAGTTAAGAAGGCCTGGGGTCAAATATGGCCTCTAACATTTACCAGCTGTATAACTGAGCAAGCCACATAATCTCTGTTTGCCTCAGTTTCCTCAACTGTAAAACAGGGATAATAAAAGCATCTACCTCAAAGGGTTGTTATGAGGAAATAAGAGAATATTTGTGAAGCATTTAGCACACTGCCTGGCACATAGTAGGCACTATATGTTTGTTTTCTTCCTTTCTCTTCTCCTCAACCCCTGATAATCAGTAATACAAAGTCTGCTTGACTCATTTCAAGCAACAATTTAAAAGGAAGAAGACTTTGCATACCATGCCTTAAGAACTAATAACACTGTTAGGTAGCCTGGATCCTCTACAAACTCAAGCTGAGGAAGGCAGGACTATTGATGATGATTATAATTTGTACTATCAACTAGCACTGGCACAGGGTAGATAGGACAGGAAATCTCTTTCCTCTATTTTGTTGTTGAAAGTGTTCAGGGATATACATTTTCTACTTAGTTCTGCTTTGTCTACATCTCAATGGTTTTATTATTTCCTAAGTTATCCTTTTCTCTGATAAAATTATCTTTTGTTTTTATGATTTATTCTTAGACTTACTCATTCTTTAGGATAATATTAGGATTCTTTAAAATCATAGTTTCCACTTAAATTTTAATCCAGAATTTTTTTAAATTGTTTTTACTAATTATCATTTTTCTTCTACTACAGGTAGTAAAAGATTGCTTCATATTTTGGTTTTTCTATAATTGTTTATCAGGTTTTTATGTAGTAATACATCAGTTTTTGTAAAGTTCCATGCAACAATGAGAAATATACATACTTATGATTCCCATTCAACAACTGGAAGAAATTGAAGAAATTTATACCTATCTTTTCTAAAATTCTATTCATGCCCTTAACTTTTCCACTGTTTATATTTGTGCCAAATTGCCTAGGTCTAAAATTAGAATATTGAAGTCTCCCAAAATTATTATTTTAACTATTTTTCCTTATACTCCAGTTAACTTTTTCTTTAAGTATTTAGATGCAAAGCCATCCAGAGATATATGTATGTGTGTGTGTGTATAATCTGTGTATATATAATTAGTATTTTATAGTATTTTTAGTATTGTTATTATCTATGATGCCTTTAAGCATAATGCAGTTTCCCCACTTACCTTTTTTAATCAAGTCTATATTTATTATAGCCTTGTCAGAGAATGATTGCTGCTCCTACCTTTTGAAAAATTCATCTGAGGCATAATAGATTGTACTCTTCTTCTTCTATCATACTCTATGTAGATCCTTTATGATTCAAGTGTGTTTATTGTATACAATATTTTTTGCATTCTGTTTTCTAATCCAGAAGGAGCTACCTTCCTCCATTTTATGAGTGAGTTCATGAGTTTAACACATTTAAAGTTATGTTTGTTAATTATATTTTTACTTTGAGCATGCTCTATTGTAGCATAGAAAACAAAGTCTCTTTATTCACACACACACACACACACACACACACACACACACACACACACACCATTCTCTCAGGGGTGGAGGAGAAGGATGGGAACAATAGTAGCAATGTAAAATTCAGTAGTTTGATCCAAGACCCAGATCACCCTTCATAATCAACCCTCCGTAGTTAAAATATATTTTGCTTGTATTTTTTCCTCCCTTCCCTCCTCTACTCTTCCTCTTAAATAATTTTTTCCATTTTTTATCTCTTTATTTCCATGCTACATTTAATGTATTTCTATGCTAAACTCTTTGTGTGTGTCTGGCTCTGTGACTGTGTGTAACCTATTTTCCTTTGCCTAGTTCATATGAGTGAAGTTCATGAGAATGGAATCTTGGAATTTTACAACCCCCACTCCCATGTTTACATCACGTAGGGCATGGAATAAATATCTTTGAATACTCTGGAGAAAACTCCTAATGGCATTCCTCAAGGAAGAAGAAGAAAGTCAAAAGTGAATGTTCTCCCCAGTGTGTGCAAAAAAGAGAACAAAACAATACCCATGACTTATATTGTATCCTAGAAAGGACACAACAACAGGACAAATAACCTTAATACCATAATAGAAGAGATTTTCTTGAAATTTGTGAATATGGAAAATGAAATACCAAGTGAAAAAATTCATACATTGCCTCCAGAAAAAAAAAACACCTCTAACATCTTTGCCAAGAAAAACCCAAATGAGGTCACAAAGAATTATACACAACTGAAAAACTGCTAAACAACAAAAGAGTTTCCCACATTCCAAATATTCCTAATGCAAAGGATCACAGCGGTGTAGAAACTTTGTAGTTCAAACACAGAAGTCAAGAGAAACATAAAATGGTAAACATGTATTGAACAATGACAAAGGTATAAATGAGGATAAACAGCTTACATTATAATACAGGGAGATGATACAATGTCCCCTCTAAACCCTATCATTATTGGGGTCATAGAGGGAGTCTAATTCGACAAAACCTGGGAGTGGTTCTGCTATGTCTTCCTGATCTTAAGAGAAGAATGGAAAGAAAGAGGAAGAGGAATACATGGGAGAGGAAGAAAGAGGGAAAAGGTTAGGAAAAATTAGTTCACATAACCAGGGAGTGTAAGTAGAAGTCTATGCAAACATGATGGAGGGAGTAGAGAGGAATAGCTGACAATTGAATCTCACTCTCATCTGAACCAGTCAAAGGAGAGAAGACTATATTACGCATAGTTGGGTGCAAAAAAACAAATATTCAACAGGGAAGTAGGAGGGAAAGAGGAGAAAGGAGCAGGAAGAATTAAAGAAAGGGTAAATTAAAGGAAAGCAAAACAAACTCTAAGGATGTACAAAAATATTGACATTTTAAGGTAGCAAAAGAATGGGAATCTGAGGGAGTATCCATAAACTGGAATGTTTCAACAATGTTTCAACAACTTATAATATCTAAATATGATGGAACACTATTGTGCTATAAAAATAATTAAGGGAATTATACCACAGAAGTTTGAAAGAATTAAGAACTCTGATTAGTGTTGTTAGCAACCACTATTCCGTAGCACTTATAATGAAACATGCTACCCATTTCCCGACAGAGACAAGAAGAACTCAGGGTGAAGAATGAATGATATTTTTTTCATATTTTTATATGACTTATTGTAGAAATTTTTTTGCCTCACTATACATATTTATAACAGGGGTTTTATCTTAATTTTATTCTCAATTGGGCACTTGAGTTGAGAAGGAAAGAATGAAGATTTTTGCTGATTGAAAAAAAAAAGTATATATAAAATTTTTTTAAAAGAGGCAAGGTCCTTCGCTGGGGGAGAGGTGGGAGGGGAAAGTGTGGGAGGCTTGAGGAAGAGATTTGTAATATGTCCTGTGGGGAGTGAGACAGAGTATTGATTTGAGAGTAATAAAACTACTACCTTGCTGCAATGAGGGTCCAATTAAAGTTAGATAACATACTTCTAGGATGTACACAGTCAGCATAACTGTTTAAACTCCTCTAGTTCTATTCAGTAGCATGGGAGTAAGAATGAAGAAACATAATGGGTGTAATATAAGTTTAAAGTTTAGGAACAGATAGACAGCTACAGGAATAGATGTGAAGGGATTACAGATCTTGTTAAGGATGACAGACAGAGAAAAGGCAGTATGATGGCTAATTATGGTCAGATAGAGGAATGTCAGAATTTCTGATTAAGGAAGTTTAACAGTTGTGGGCAATGATGATATCTACTGTGTGACCATCCACGTGTGTGATTGACATAAAATGAAAAAGTACCACATGACATGACCAACAAGATAGAGGACCAGACACATTCTCCAATCCTTATGATCTTTCCAACATCTCCAAAATTAAAATTATGGATAAGAGGTAAAGCAATTTCAGCTATCTCCATAAAACAACATTTCAAAAACTCTAAAAATGTAACAACCCAATAAACTAACAGCAGAGAAGGCCAATCCCTAATCTACCAGGGCTGCATAAACCAAGTCAACAGCTCACAATAGAACTCATCGAGAAAACTGAGGAATATAGGGAACTGGGGTAGGACACCAACCATGTGTGTGGATACACCAGGCCTGAAGAAAAGGGGAATGGCATACAGATGGGATCAGATCACTCAGGACAGAGGCTGAGGCCGATGGAAATTGGGAACATGGGACAAGTACAGCTTGGACATGGGAGGAGGATGAAGTAACTTGAGGCCCAGACCTCAAGGAAACTGCCATCAAAGGGGAAGGAATAAGAAAGCGAATTTGGTGGGAAAAAACACAAACTGAAATTACTAAAGATAGAGACCTAATAATTCAGTTAAAGAAGCAAATAAACTAACAGGGATGATATTATTAAAAGAAGGAAATATGGCCTCGATATCATCTGAATTAGAACATGGAACCACAGCAGGATGTTCCTGAATAGTTTCAGAGAGAAATAATAATTGTAAAAGCAGAATTTATGGCCTTCATAGAAGAAATGATCAGCAGAATAAAAAATTAAAAAGAAACTTCAATATACA